TTTATTACATTTATTTTACAAATTTATTTTCTATTTTTAATGATAAATGTTTAACTGGTGGGTAGGTATGTAAATATCAGAGGGGATGATCTTTTCAATGCGAATTAAACTGAAAACCGGAGAACAATTTCGAATTTCACAAATTTACCTTTTGTGGGCAAGAGAATATTTTATTTAAATAATCAATTCGTTTTATAAAAAAATAAGTATTATTGATACGAAAGCACATAATGAAGTCTTCATTGTTTTTTAAATATAAATATATTGACTACTTTTACATAATCGTTGCAGAAACTTTTGTAATGAAACAGGAGATTTAATTTGACAAAATTTCATTTTCTTATGAATGTAACTTTTGCAGTCGAAAGCAATTGCTTTCCATCGAAGAAGCGTGGAATTTGCCGATATCTGCAGAAATGTCATCTCGGCAACAACAACAGCAAAATGGTACATCGCAGAATCGAAATGTATCACAAACGTATCCGAAAGGCTTTGCTCCAACTACTCCTCAGGGGCCACCTCCTCCTTATCCATCACCTACTTCTGGCCCTCCAAGTAAACGATTTAGAACGGAAGCAGGAGATCAGAAGACGGCGCAACCACAACCGCAACCACAACAGCAACCGTCTTTCTATTTATCACAGAACCAGTTGCAACTGTTGCATTATTTCCAACAAAACATCAGCAATTTATCGCAAGCTCAACAGGCAAGTGTTTTTATTTTGCATCATTTTCACCTTTTCTAATTAACGTAGATCTATTATTCCCTTTGTATTATTCCTTTATATAAATAATTGTTGCTTTTCATCTTAAAGGTTTTTGTGGTATTTAACATTTAACGTCTTTTAATAATTTCTAGGTAATAGTACATTTAGATTCGGTACACAATTTATATTATCAGGGGTTGTAAGAGATTTCATCATCATTTCACATGCGCAGCAACACCCCAACGGTAGTAGAACTGGGTTTTAAAAAGAACTACTTGTGGACTTCTATGTTTTGTTGTTTCATCAAACAGGTTTACTTAGAAGTAATCTGATTTGAAAGCCAACAAAGTAGCGAAGTGCTTTTCTGAATTCAGTTTTATACTTGTAACTATCATTTTCATTAATCGTATTACAAATTCAGTGACTACTTTGAAGGCTAAAACCCTGTCAATTTTAATTGTTGGCTGCTTTTATATTTTTGTGATCGAATATTTGCATAAATATATTGCTAGTAGGTTCGATCACCCTTAGGATATAAGGAATGATAATTACTCCATTAGAATAACGAAAGTAACTTACGAAGGAGTTATTGGACTAGATTATCTGATTCAAATTCCCCCACTATAACTGACATTCACAAAAAACTTAGCTATTCTGCTTATATTACTATTATTTCAATTAATTCGAACATTTAATTGTTATGAAGTGTTAACATATCTATATTTAAATATCAATTACATCATTTATAATTTGTTCTATATTTATAAAAGCATTTTCGCTATAAATAGTAATAATGTATTCAAAATTGTTAATTGCTCGGCACTTGGTAAAACGTTATTAATTATGACAGAAATATGCTATACGAAAAGCTCCTTATTAGTATTTTATGGTCAAAATACGTTAACCTATTTGTTAGAACTATACTTACTGTATAAACCATATCTGTAGCAAAAAAAGTAAGTTACATTACCCGTCAAATCAATGGAATTAAGTCATCTCGCCATTGTCTGACTACAAGTAGAAGATGAGAATTAAGTTTTACATCTTATTACATTAGTTTTGCATCTAGTTAGAATGCAAGAAACAACTGTGCATGGTAGAAAATTTGTTAAACTCATCATTACAACTTCTTCGTTGTACACTTGTCCTTCTGATGGAGTAGTTAGGGTTCTTCAATATTCTAAATGATTATTTTTACAGACAATGATGCAACAGCTGCAACAACAGTATCGACTAATGCAGCAACATCAACAGCAGTTTAGAACACAAAAACAGCAGCCACAATCTGGAATTAGTTCTGTAACACGGACTGGACAAACGCCTACATTCACGGGATCCATCACGCAATCTTTTTCCAGTCAAGCTATCAATAGAACTTCACCACTAGCACCTCCAAAGAGTTTTTCGCCCATAAATACGGTTACGCCACCAGGGAATCAATTTAAATCTGATAAACTCGTGCAGCCTTCGCTTACTACCCCCATTCCCAATTGGTTCATAATTTAATTAAAATAATCTTTTCTTGTGTTTTTATTTCACTAAGGAAATGCCACCTAAGAACAATTTTGTTTACATACAGAGTGCTCTACCAGCAGCAGAGTCAGCCTATGGATGCCTTACAAGCGTACATTTGCGCGGTTCAGTTGGATAAATGTCATTCGGCTGCTTGGGCAAATTTGGGTATTTTATACGAAAGCTGTGGCCAAGCTCGGGACGCTTACGCCTGTTACCTCAACTCGAATCGCGGCTTGGCCAACCAAGGTACACCAGACTCCGCGGTCGAACCGTACATGCTAACGAAAAATTTCCAACATACTAGGTCTCCATCTCCTGTGGGAATGAACCCACGGCTCACCCAGAGAATAAATTTCCTGCAAACACACCTTGCTAACGCCCCAATGCCGAGCATAACAGCAAAGTAAGTAATTTAAAAAACGTAATATATAATTGAAAAGCATTTGTATTTATCACAGTATTTTGGGCAAAAACGTTTTGCGAATTGTAATTCTGGTAGTTAAACCGAATGCACTTTACATATATTATGTACGAATTGTTTATTCTTTCAGTGCATGATCATGTTGCACTTTTCTCTATGATTGGTGTTGAGAAAATGCCATCTGGCGAGGTAAATTATTATCTACTTGACAGTTATATTTAACTCTGAACCACCGTTAAAGATAAAACAGTCGTATTAATCCTAAGCAAGCATGAACGATCAGGAAGATATACAGAATTTTGACGAACTTGTAAATGAAATTTTTAAATTATACAGGTATTAATAAATAGTATGTATACTTAATCCGTCTATAAAATCAATTTTGTCATATTTTCAAAATTAACTATAAGCAATTTTTTTCAACAAAAATGTATTACACCTAGTGAGAATGCTGTAATAAAAAAATGGTAAAGGTGAAATTAATTCGCCCTGATTATTTTATTTGCATGTTGTTATTATATTTTGTCAGTCAATATGAATATTATTATGCAGTATAATAGAAATGTAATAGTCTTATTTAACTTGCATGCCTTAAAAAATTAATATACAAAAAATGTTACCAAGAAAAGGGATGACTATGAAGGTGGAGTTGCAATGTACCTAACCTTATAGAGATTTTGTTCTGATGAGTGGCGGGGCTGAGTAATAACCAACGTCTTTAATTCAAAGTAATTTGGGCCTTTGTCATATTTATTTCTTTAAATTTTTGAACTCATTTCACGAAGAACCGTTTATCTTGTAAATGTATAATAGCCTAATCTTTATTAAATATTGCAACTACAAGTTTATTACATTTATTTTACAAATTTATTTTCTATTTTTAATGATAAATGTTTAACTGGTGGGTAGGTATGTAAATATCAGAGGGGATGATCTTTTCAATGCGAATTAAACTGAAAACCGGAGAACAATTTCGAATTTCACAAATTTACCTTTTGTGGGCAAGAGAATATTTTATTTAAATAATCAATTCGTTTTATAAAAAAATAAGTATTATTGATACGAAAGCACATAATGAAGTCTTCATTGTTTTTTAAATATAAATATATTGACTACTTTTACATAATCGTTGCAGAAACTTTTGTAATGAAACAGGAGATTTAATTTGACAAAATTTCATTTTCTTATGAATGTAACTTTTGCAGTCGAAAGCAATTGCTTTCCATCGAAGAAGCGTGGAATTTGCCGATATCTGCAGAAATGTCATCTCGGCAACAACAACAGCAAAATGGTACATCGCAGAATCGAAATGTATCACAAACGTATCCGAAAGGCTTTGCTCCAACTACTCCTCAGGGGCCACCTCCTCCTTATCCATCACCTACTTCTGGCCCTCCAAGTAAACGATTTAGAACGGAAGCAGGAGATCAGAAGACGGCGCAACCACAACCGCAACCACAACAGCAACCGTCTTTCTATTTATCACAGAACCAGTTGCAACTGTTGCATTATTTCCAACAAAACATCAGCAATTTATCGCAAGCTCAACAGGCAAGTGTTTTTATTTTGCATCATTTTCACCTTTTCTAATTAACGTAGATCTATTATTCCCTTTGTATTATTCCTTTATATAAATAATTGTTGCTTTTCATCTTAAAGGTTTTTGTGGTATTTAACATTTAACGTCTTTTAATAATTTCTAGGTAATAGTACATTTAGATTCGGTACACAATTTATATTATCAGGGGTTGTAAGAGATTTCATCATCATTTCACATGCGCAGCAACACCCCAACGGTAGTAGAACTGGGTTTTAAAAAGAACTACTTGTGGACTTCTATGTTTTGTTGTTTCATCAAACAGGTTTACTTAGAAGTAATCTGATTTGAAAGCCAACAAAGTAGCGAAGTGCTTTTCTGAATTCAGTTTTATACTTGTAACTATCATTTTCATTAATCGTATTACAAATTCAGTGACTACTTTGAAGGCTAAAACCCTGTCAATTTTAATTGTTGGCTGCTTTTATATTTTTGTGATCGAATATTTGCATAAATATATTGCTAGTAGGTTCGATCACCCTTAGGATATAAGGAATGATAATTACTCCATTAGAATAACGAAAGTAACTTACGAAGGAGTTATTGGACTAGATTATCTGATTCAAATTCCCCCACTATAACTGACATTCACAAAAAACTTAGCTATTCTGCTTATATTACTATTATTTCAATTAATTCGAACATTTAATTGTTATGAAGTGTTAACATATCTATATTTAAATATCAATTACATCATTTATAATTTGTTCTATATTTATAAAAGCATTTTCGCTATAAATAGTAATAATGTATTCAAAATTGTTAATTGCTCGGCACTTGGTAAAACGTTATTAATTATGACAGAAATATGCTATACGAAAAGCTCCTTATTAGTATTTTATGGTCAAAATACGTTAACCTATTTGTTAGAACTATACTTACTGTATAAACCATATCTGTAGCAAAAAAAGTAAGTTACATTACCCGTCAAATCAATGGAATTAAGTCATCTCGCCATTGTCTGACTACAAGTAGAAGATGAGAATTAAGTTTTACATCTTATTACATTAGTTTTGCATCTAGTTAGAATGCAAGAAACAACTGTGCATGGTAGAAAATTTGTTAAACTCATCATTACAACTTCTTCGTTGTACACTTGTCCTTCTGATGGAGTAGTTAGGGTTCTTCAATATTCTAAATGATTATTTTTACAGACAATGATGCAACAGCTGCAACAACAGTATCGACTAATGCAGCAACATCAACAGCAGTTTAGAACACAAAAACAGCAGCCACAATCTGGAATTAGTTCTGTAACACGGACTGGACAAACGCCTACATTCACGGGATCCATCACGCAATCTTTTTCCAGTCAAGCTATCAATAGAACTTCACCACTAGCACCTCCAAAGAGTTTTTCGCCCATAAATACGGTTACGCCACCAGGGAATCAATTTAAATCTGATAAACTCGTGCAGCCTTCGCTTACTACCCCCATTCCCAATTGTATGCGAGACATTAGTTCCTCTATGTCAATGAGCAATGCAGGGACGAATGATTTAGATGTTAGTGAGGAAGATTTGCAGGATCTCTTATCACAAAAAGATCTCGCCACTACATTAGCTGAAAATTTGTTGAAGCATTTCGGATCGGAAGAAATGGATCAAGTAAAAACTGAGAGTTCAGGTAATTAGTAAATTACTTGTTTAGAGATAGTTTGAGTTATGGAATCATCAGATTGTCTTGAAATTCACAATATAAAACGATTTTAGACAATATTACGCTTTCTTCGGGACCGTTTTCGCCATCGAATATTGCGTCGGAAATTAAAGTCGAAGTAAAAGATGAATTAAAACCCAAAGGGTTATCGCCACAAACAGAAAGGATTCTTACAACTAGTCATTCTCTATGGGGTGAGATGGAATCTATCCATCAACCAGATAAGCGTCCTGACAGTGAATATAACATTGACATGGACGCAAGAACTATTTTGGAGTTATGCAAGTAAGTATTTTTCTAAATTATAAGCTGTTTGTATTCAAATTATTAAGGTTGCCGAAGAATTATGAGAATGTACTACTTGAATGAATTTATAATAATAAATATTTTTAGGGGTGAGGGAATCAAAGGAGATATAAGTCACTCTTTAATTGCGGACAATGCACCACCGCCTGCACCTCCTGATCCCCCTTCAGTGAAATTGAATCATCAGCAACTGTTACCTCCAACTCCTTCCGTGTATTTGGACAACAAGAAGCATGCATTTAGTCCTCAGCTGCAAGAATTTTGCCTTAAACACCCTATAGCGGTGATCAGAGGAATGGCATCGGCTCTAAAACTTGACCTGGGACTGTTTTCTACAAAAACTCTTGTTGAAGCAAACCCGGACCATACCGTAGAAGTTAGAACGCAAATACAGCAACCTTCGGATGAAAATTGGGATCCACAGTCAGGAAAGAAAGTGTGGGCTTGTATTTCTCATAGGTCACATACAACGATAGCAAGATATGCTCAGTATCAAGCGTCTAGCTTTAAAGAAAGTTTAAAGGTAGGTGGTTAACTTTTCTGCTTTGGTTGGGTAAATTAATTTGTGGAAATAGTAGTTCTAGTTTCACATTTGACGTAGCGTAGTTGTAATAACAATCGGCTACATTTTGCAAACAAAAAACTTACCAAAACACGCCATTCGAAGAATAAAATTTTGTAAAATATTAGATTGACAATAAGTTTCCCAGAAATTTATTTTTACAGGTATAAAATTCAAAAATTAAATTGAGATTTCATGATGAGATTTATAAAAATTAATACACAATATAGTTTATTTGGTCTTTACATAAGTGTACTATTTCACTGCAAGGCTTAGGTAATAGAAACTTTTAAAACATAATGTGTATTGTTCTTAAAAACTGTTGATGAATACGTATATGTATATACTGTAATACACAATATAGTTTATTTGGTCTTTACATAAGTGTACTATTTCAGTGCAAGGCTTAGGTAACAGAAACTTTTAAAACATAGTGTGTATTGTTCTTAAAAACTGCTGGAAGATGCGTATATATATATTGTAATACACAATATAGTTTATTTGGTCTTTACATAAGTGTACTACTTCAGTGCAAGGCTTAGGTAACAAAAACTATTAAATCATAATGTGTATTGTTCTTAAAATCTGTTGGAAGATACCTAGATATATTAAAATTTTTAAAATTCTATATACTTGAAAAAAAGCAAGATCAACTATTATAATAGTAATATGATAATGTACCTAATGCCGTTTGCTTTCTGTTAGACAGGAGTTTTATTATATTTTGATAAATATAATTATCTGCAATGAGGTAAGTTCAAAAAATTTGAAATACGCAACCGAATATGTAAGTGGACAAAAATGCAGAATTCAATAGTACACTGTTAAGAAAATACGTTTCTTCGCAATTAAACCGAAATAAATTGTTTCTTAAACGTATAATACTTACAAAATACGTTTACGTTCTTTCCTAATACATATATGGGTAAATTCCTTTTTTTTTTCGCAGAGGAATGAAGAAAAATGGTGTATTGCTAGACAGTTGTATTACTTACATTGAGTTTGTGTAATGATATTATCATTCTGTAGTCACCAACAATTGCTTATATAATTCAGAAAAATAGTCGTATATAATCAATGTATATTGTACTTATGTACATTTGTAATAAGGTTAGAACAAGCATCCTCTATGTGAAATGATATTGGACCATTACAAATAATTCATTTAATAAATTTAAGGATAATGGGATGTATGTGAATTCTTTTTACAAAATATATTTTTAGTTTTGTTAATTATATAACTGTGTTGGAGAAGGGTTTGCATTTTATTGTTTAAATGCCGCTGTTTTTCTAATGGTTATTTTTTAATGAATTACATTACAACTTAAAACTCAATTAACTTTTAATGGATTCTCTTAATTAAGCGGTTTTTAAGTTTTAGATATATTTAATCTTTTGTAATGCACTACAAAGTAATTATATTTTCAGGAGGAGAGAGATAAGACCAGTGGTGGAAATTACAATCTTTCTGATTCTGACTCTAAGGACTCAACCAACTTTCCAAAGAGGAAGAATAAGAACGCACCGACAGTTCAACAAACAGGACAGATCAAGAACTATAACCCTCCAAAAATGTTGAAGTAAATATATATAAATATTAGGTTTTAAAATATCCCTATAGTTTACTAAACCTGTTCTGCATAAAAGGCTTACCCTTAATTTTCTATGTATTGTAAAATTTATTACAAACGTGAATTTCATTTTTGTAACAATGTCTGTTTTAATAGATTTGGTACAAATGTTGATCTGTCGGACGAAAGGAAATGGAGGCCACAGTTGCAAGAACTTATGAAGTTACCTGCTTTTGCAAGAGTTGTTTCGGCTGGAAATATGCTTTCTCACGTTGGTCACGTTATACTTGGAATGAATACAGTACAGTTGTATATGAAGGTACAATGCAGTGTAGTGTTATTTACTTATTTTCAGAATTTTTCAATGCATTGTAATATTTCCAAATCTTTTAAAAATGTCGAATTAATGTAGTTTCTTAAGGTTTATACGTAAGTTGAAATTATATGATGTGCAATGATTCAAGTATTTATGCACTAATTAATTTGAGAAATAACAAATGTAAAAAGTCACCGTCTCAGTTTTCTTTTCGTTGGAGAAAATTATTAAAACTGTTTTTTTTAAACATCTGGACAATTACATTAGATAGTTAAGAACTGAAATAGATAGGTAGTATTAAACTTTAGATAGTACATTAAGTAAATACTCTTTGCGATGTACTTTGAGCGACAAGTGATTGAGTCCTTTTAAATAACAGCTTAATAATAATGTATAAGTGGTATTACAGTAATCACGCTTGTTCTAAATAAAAAAATATTTTTATTATTAATATAGAATGTACTAACAGTACAATATTCTCATTATTTTCTTATTGGCAGGTCCCAGGTAGTAGAACTCCGGGTCATCAAGAAAATAACAATTTCTGTTCAATAAACATTAACATAGGCCCAGGCGACTGTGAATGGTTCGCAACACCTGATGCATACTGGGGTGCTATTTGTGCCTTATGCGAAAAAAATCAAATCAACTACCTTCATGGATCATGGTGGCCAGTGTTAGAAGATCTTTATAAAGCCAATATACCGGTATACCGCTTTTTGCAACGACCTGGAGATTTAGTGTGGGTTAACGCCGGATGTGTTCATTGGGTTCAAGCAGTCGGCTGGTGTAATAACATCGCTTGGAATGTTGGTCCTTTAACTGCGCGTCAATACCAACTTGCAATTGAAAGATATGAATGGAATAAACTTGAAAGTTTCAAATCTATCGTTCCTATGTTACATTTGTCGTGGAATTTGGCGAGAAATATTAAAGTTTCTGATCCTAAATTATTCTCATCAATTAAGTAAGTTGTCCTACATACTGTTCGTTTAAGTATTGAATACAACAATAACCCGAATGAAAACATTTTCGATTCGATATTGTTCCAATAATGAAAATTGTTGGAACATACTTCATTTAGGAAATGTGTGTTGACAAAATTGTTTCGACTGTGTCGATCATTCTCAAAAGTAAACATTCTCTAGAGAATGTCTGCCTAAGTTGATACAATCTTGTCAATATTTCAATATGTTGATTAGTCTGTGTTTGATATGTTTAATTCATTTCAACAATCACGTACCGACAATAAATTGAAACAAATTAAAATACTTTCCTTTTGCAGAAAATGTTTATTGAGGACTTTACGACAATGTTCAATGATCTTGGAGTTTGTGCGACACAAAGGAGTAGAAGTCAAATTTCACGGTCGGGGAAAAAATGAAGCTTCACATTACTGTGGCCAATGTGAGGTAAGAAATAAATAGCAAAATGTAATTCGATAAATTTTAAAAGCTGCCATTGTCAATTTACATTCCATCTTTAACAATAGTATTTATTACAGAATTTTTCAATGCTGAATTGTCATAGTTTTTTATTTTTGTTAAGTCTTTCTATTGGTTTAATTTAAATTATTCTTTTACAGATTGAGGTGTTCAATATACTGTTTATACGTGAACAAGAAAAGCGGCATGTAGTTCACTGCTTGGATTGTGCTCGTAAGCAATCGTCTAACTTAGAGGGATTTGTATGTTTAGAAGAGTACAAGATGGAAGAATTGATGGATGTCTATGACAATTTTGTTTTACACTCTATCGTGAGTGCTACTGCGGAATCATACCGCCATTTATCATAAAATCACTTTGAAGTCAGATTTTCAAAATAGCGACGTTTCTCTATTAAATAAGTTGTACGGTTTTGTATGCAATTTTTTTAATTTTGAGTAACTGAAAGAAGTACGTAACAACAGTTTAATGATAGTTTTTGTTTAACTATAAAGGAGTCGTACAGTTATACGGATATAATATTTACCAACTCAATTTTAATTTATCCCAATCGTATAAGTGCAATTAGTTCAAACAAGTTGTACTAGTCAAAATCCAATTAATAAGCTAAATATTATCAAGATGAATGCAAACAGTTGCATTTCCCGAATGGCTTGTTAATCTGTCAAATATAATTGATTTAGTTTAATCTAAAAGTTTAGTTCAAAACATCTTTTCATGTTATATGTGAAAACACATTCTTTTATAAGAGTACCTTATTATTCCGTTGTTCTCGATTATTAATACTATTTGTATTAAGCGTGTACCCATATTAATATATATTAATGAAAATTGACGAAAATGGCCCTTTTTTTAATTAAAATAACGTTCGAGTTATTTTGTAAATCTGACAAAAACATTTTCTAAGCAATCACTGCCAATTGTAACTGATGTACAAGTGTAAATGTCTAATCGTTTTGTTGATATTGTATGCATTAATTCAACAAATTAGCCGAGTGATATAGTTAAGTAAGGTAAAATGTATATGTAAAGTGTACATAAGGTTGAATAGAGTATGATAGTTGGTTCGGATGAATAGAATAAAGATAACTAAGAAGCTGATCTCATAGCAGTAAAAGTTTAAACCCAATAGTGTACATACATAAGTCGCGAATAATGTTTTGTTTTATTTTCCCTTTGTACATCAAACTTTTATTTATCTATTTGTTCGTAGTGAATTATTTGTATTTTTTAATTTTTAAGTCGTTAGCATTTTTAATCGTCATTGAAATTGTAGCACTGCCAAAAAGTAGGTCGCGGTTTTGTTTCAGAATTAAGTAATTAATTTATTTTTATATTCAGTGTACTCGATAGATAAGACCAATAATTCCTGATAGCAATTGCGTAGGGTGTTACCTGTTCTGAAGGGTCGAATTGTAAGATTTGTATTCAAGCAGTTGCAATAAATACTTCATGACGTAAACAGACAAAGAAATTTTTCGTTAACTTAATACAATTGGATATATTGAACTAGCTAACTTTAAAATGTGACAGGGTTACATTGTAATTGAAATCAGTGTTGCACAACGAATAGTAAATGGCTGATTGTATAATACATCTGGAAAATTTTACTTAAGGAAGTTGTTAAAAATCAGCAATAAAATAAATATTAAAAATCAAATGGAAAATTAGAAAGTCAGCATTTCAAGAGTGCATGATTTTTGATGGTTTTAAAAAATAGTGAAGTTTTTATTTCTCATCTGATTGTTAATATTTAGTGCCTACTTATTTTCATTGCTAATGTTTAAAAGATTCACCAAAACAAATTTTGCAGATGTTCTTGTACAACTAAGTATTTGTTTTACGTTTGAGTAAAATCCTTCTAACAGCGTCAACTCCCCGCACCTCATAGAAATTTCATCACTTAAAAGTTTAAAAAAAAATTCATTTAATGATTACTATAATGAGTATTCACTAAAGTGGTGTTTAGTATTGTTTGCAAATGCTTGGAAAATAAACGATTTGTATTAACTGTCTGTGAATAAGAAAAATGACATTTGTCAAATATTCTTGATTCCGTTTTGTCCTTATTAAATTAATTAAGCCAATTTAGGACATGGTAAAATGTTCTAATGATAAACAGAGAACTGAAACATAAATAATAGTTAATAGTTTTTACATTAAGAAAAGTAAACTAGAATTGCAATTAAATTTCATAGCTATCGGATATTAAAAATTTTATTTGAATTCAGATTCTCTAAAAAATGTTGACTCAGGGGTTATGAATTAATTACCATGTTCTAAATTAACAGATTTTATAAAAACAGTTATTTTATCATAGATGTGTTTTTTGTTTTCTTGTTCACAGTGTCAGGATTGAAAAAGAAATGCAAAAGTTAGAAGTGAACTGTTTTTATAAAGTAAAATTACACGTTGCCTTTACATCTATACTGTTTATTTCTTTTTTTGAGAATAAAATGTTTAGTTTCGAGCAATCGTATTTTCTAAAGGTAACGAGGATTTTGCAAGACAGGACGACGTTTCATTAGTCAAAAACACGACCAATGCTGTATCTACAAACGTCGCTGTCGGATAGATCTTCGGCAATGGAACATTATTTCTTACAGTGCCTTCATAAACTACATTAATAGGGAAACAATATTTTTTGCAACTACAAGATCCAATACACCTGAACTAAACCTGTATATTGTAGGAACTCAAGAATTTAGCTCAATTTTTTATCTTCATTTCTTTGATGTTTTAATATAATTCATATTCAATATAAGTCTGAGTATCAACTGTGCAGTTTCATTTTTTTGTGTAAATTAAATTGTATTCACATTTAGTAACTAAAATAAATTAAATTATTCCATAGATTATTTTTTCATTATATTGGTAGTTAATAAATAATACAGTTATTCCATCAAGGATGAAACTATGAAGTAATGTAAAAAAGCATTAAAGTAGTATATTCGAGACAGATAAAATTTTTATACTTTTGATTAGTTACTCCATTAAATGATCAATATGATATTTATTTCTCCTTTCTTATCTGAAATGTTTTATGCGAATATATAATTTAACAAAGGCAAACTGGGTTACCAAATCGAAACTTGAACGAAGGGAAGGAAATATGCAAATACGTGTGTACTGACGTACTTCAGTACATAAAAAACGGCAATGATTGTATATAAAGAAACGGTGTACCAAGCTAACAGAAGTAAAATCTGCAATAATGTATATTCCCATTAGATTGAGATGAAAGAATTACAGAAAAAATATGTCTTCTGGCTTTTTTAGAAGTACTAAAAGTTGATGTGCTTTTTTCGATTGGCCAGTATTTTTAGTCATTGAGTGCAACTTCATTATTATTTAAAACGCTAAGATTAAAACCTTGTTAAAAAAAATAAGCACACTCGATATACTTATTCATTATCAATTTTTTCGATTAATAGATATGCTTCTGAGGTTTATAATACATATAACTATTATTTGCATATGCCAACGTTTTTTTGTTTAGTCTTTAGTGTGATGTAAATTATTGGTTTGTCCATAATATACAATAAATATATAGATAGGAGGGGACGTATACCACCTTATAATTAGTTTATCATGGTTAAGCACCAATGATAGTTCGATTTTGGGCTCGCTAGATGTGGCGACACTATTAAAATCTGCCATCTGCCGTGAGACGAATGTACTAGTTCGCACTTCGTTCTGTGCACGTGGCAGAAATTTTGTTATTGTTTCAGGCGGGTGAGACACCCCCTAAATTTTAAAGCTGCTTACAAATTTCTTTTTAGGAGCCAATTTCACTTAACATTCTGGATGCACTGAGCATTAATATGCTTATATTTGAATATACAATATTATGTAAAATACCCAAAAAAATTTAATTAAAATAAATATTGTTTTTATGTTAGGCTTTTAAATAGACAAAAATTTTGTAATAATATGTCAAATCAAAATAATTTCTTTTATTAAATTGCTAAATGATATCGATATAAGTACGTAAAAATAATTATTAATTTATACTGAAAATAATACTGATGAAATCAAGGTTTTTCAATTACGTGTACGTTACAAAATAAATTAAATTAGAAAAACTGGGTACAGGAAAAATCACAAAAAATATTCGCTAGTTTCAAATACATTATTTTTCGTCATTATATTGTTTANTTGGTTCTTTATCTTTTGTAATTTATTAATAATAAATATTATATCCGATCCAATCCAACGGGACTTAAACCTTGACGAAACTCTTGTACAAACTAGAGTGGGTGGATTGACTTGCGAGTTTCGATGATTTAGAAAGCCGGACCATAGGTTCAACCATAATGGGAGGGTTCTTAAAGAGAAACGAGACTAAGACAAGTCCCTGAAAGAGGGCAGCAACTGTTTCAGTACTCAGGGTGGCAGCGGGTGGCAGAGATCATGAGGATCGGTATAGCACTTTGATGTACAATACTGCGATGTGGAGGACAACGGGAAAACACCACATTATGATTCCAAGTAAAACGTTCAACTACTGAAATTAAATGATGGCGTCCTCTAGGGTAAAGCACTCCGGACGTAAACTAGTCCCCCATTCGGATGTCCGGGAGGGCAATCCCGGGAAATGTCATCAAGTGCAATAGGGTTAGGTGCAATATTTCACGAGTCGGAGCGTGGAATGTTACGACAATTAGGCAATTAGGGAAATTGGAAAATTGAAAAATAGAAATGAGGAGATTAGAATTAGATATAGTAGGCATTAGTGAAGCCTGTTGGCCCAAAGCTGGAGACTTCTGGAGAATAATGCATACAGGATCGGTGGAAGGTAATTCGGGGCTAGGAATTGTAATGCGTAGGAAAATAGGGCAGAGTGTAGAAAGTTATTTACAAAAAAGCGATAGGATAGTCATGGTTAAATTAAACTCGAAGCCGGTAAAAACGGTATTAGTGCAGGTCTACATGCCTACATCATCGTACAGTGATGAAGGCGTAGAAGCGGTTTCTGCAGATATAGAAGACGTGTTAAGTTTAGTGAAAGGGCAGGAAAACCTAATAGTTGTAGGATACTTCAACGCAGTAATAGGTGAGGGTAAAGTGGATGCAATAGCAGGTTCTTTTAGATTAGGCAATAGAAATGATAGGGGAGATAGGCTGATATAATTTTGCGATAAGCATAACTTAACCGTCGCAAATACTTTATTTTAACCATCATGTTAGAAGGCGTTCTACGTGGAAAATGCTAGGTGATTTAGGGAGATATCAATTAGATTACATACTTCTTAGGCAAAGAATTAAAAATCAAGTGAAGGACCGTAGGAATTATCCAGGAACAGATATAGATAGCGATCATAACTTAGTAGTTATGAAGACCAATCTTAAATTGAAAATTCTGAAAAAGGGAAGGTAGGAGACGTCTTGACTTCGAAAAAAATGTAACGAAACGCGTGATGGGCTAGGTAAAAGGACAGCCGAAATACTAAAGGCGGTGGGAGAAACGAATGACAGGAACATAGAGACAGAATGGAACTGCATTAAAACATGGCTAAAGTCAGTAGCTGCAGAAATACTAGGTCTTAAACGAAACGAAAGTAGGAAACCCTGGATAACAAATGAGATTTTAGGATTAATAGAAGAAAAGCGAAAATACAAAAACAGGACAGACGAAGAAGGGCAAAAAAGGTATAAAGCTATAAAGTGGGAAATAATTAGGAAGTGTAGGGCAGCTAAGGAACAGTGGATTGATAGGATGTGTAAAGAAGTAGAAGAAAAGTTTGAACTACGTAAAACCGGTGAGGCGTATAATATAATTAAAAGAAATTTTAGAAACGTAAGGTACAGTAGTAATAATATAAGAAACAAGGTAGGGGTCATTTTGATAGAAAATGAGGAAAAGGCAGATAGGTGGAAAGAATATTTAGAGAATCTATACGCAGGCTTTGAGTTAGGAGATATATTAGAGAAGGAAGATAGTGTGGAGGTAGATAAGCTAAGTTATCCCATAATGAGAGAAGAGTTTGATGTAACATTAAAAAACTTGGTGATAGTGTAGAGATAGATGAGCTAGGTTATCTCATAATGTGAGAAAAGTTCGATGTAGCATTAAAAAACTTAAAGAATAATAAGGCGCCAGGGGTAGATATGATACAGGGGAAATTCTAAAACATGCAGGGCAAGAGGTTAGAGATCGTATGTTTAAGCTAGTTAGTCACATTTACAAGACAGGGAAAGTTCCGGAGGATTATAAACGGAACGTGATGATAACCATACCTAAAAAGAGAGGTGCGGAGACATTTAGAACAATTAGCTTAACTTCCCATGAGTCAAAAATCTTAACTTGTGCAGAGTAGGATGGAAAAAAGGGCGGAAGAACTACTAGGGGAAGATCAATTTGGGTTTAGAAGAAATAGAAGAACGCGGGAGGCCATTCTAGCTTAACGGGTAACAATAGAGAAAACGATAGAAAAAGAAAAGAGTGCATACATAGGATTTGTAAATTTAGAAAAAGCTTTTGACAATGTTAAATGGGACAATATGTTAAATATAGTTAAAAATGTAGGGATAAGTTAGAAAGATAGAAGAGTGATACTTAGTTTGTATAATGAACAACAGGCAATTATAGAGCTAAGGTTGCAACGTAGGGAAGCAAATATTAGGAAGGGAGTCAGACAGGGATTCACACTGACACCCCTACTTTCTAATCTATACATAGAAGACGCGTTCAACATCATTAAAGACAGTACAACTGTAGTGATAGATATACAGGGGCAAAAGTTAAGTCCATGGGCTGGCTGGTCGATGGTTTATTATCCCGCCCTTTTTCATATCGCTTATAATTTTCTCGGCATTTTCCTTTTCGGCCAGTGGTAGTCTTCTAGGTCTATCAAATAGGTTGTGCTCCGTCTATGTGGACAATGTTGGTTCGCGCTTTCTTGCTATTTTCTAGTTCGAGTAATTCCATTAGTCGTCATTACTCCGTTGGGTTGCGTTTTTCGCTGACTTTCGCGAGCATCCCCAACCAAACATCTGGAATTCATTAGACTCTACCTATTGCGATGCTCATCCTTATAGCCTTCGTAACAGCAGTGTCTTGCGCATGAAGTTCGACTGTTTCCCCTTTCAATGTCAAGACTTTTCTCTGGAAGCTCACGCAAAAGTCGTATTGCCGAAGAACACTCAATCCCAAGGTTAACTTGTCTTCTATTTCTGTAACCAGTACACAGAGTTGAAAAGTAGTTTTGCCTACTTTTATGTTGACATAACTTTCACCAAAGGCAACATGAGCTCTCCGATGGCGGTAAGTAGCTTCCAATGTGTAGGCGAAAGCTTCCTAGGATTGGCTAATATTCAGCGTCTAATGATTGTTCTACTTGCTCTAGAGTCCCTCAGAAAAAGGCCGTCAGGTGGCTCATTCATCGTCTTTATCAGTACAACTAAACCTGAGTATTCTTAATCCGGGATCAATGTTTACCTTCCGCTTCGACCCTGATCAGTTTTCCCTAGTGCGGAGCACGCGTTCTTGGACAGCTTCCTCACTCTTGTAGGCGCTTTTTACGTTCCCATTTTTCTACTCCTACGATTGGGTTAATGTATCGGCAAGAGTTTTAGGCCTGTTCAGTCGAAATAACTGTTGTATGTCATCACCTCTCAATCCATCGATGAACGAGTCTAGCCGACTTTTCCGTGGTATTTGGACAAGCGAGACAAACAAGGCTATCATGTTTTCATGGAAGCAGGCTATCGATCTTTTCTGGAATAGTTGCTCTAAGAAACTTTTCTTTTCTAGTTTTTTCATACGTGTATCCATTTCTTTAACTTGATGAAAATTGATCTGAACTTTTCGCTTAGCTATTCTTCCAAAATTTTTAAATTTTCTTTTATTTTTACTTCCAGTAATCTTGAATTTTCGGTTAATATTTCTTTTAAAGCGCTGGATACCATCTTCTATCAGTATCAAAGATCTAATAGGATCATCCGTCATGCATCCGCTGAAAAGAGACGTATGAGAACATCTCCGCCGCCGAGCCGTCCGCATATTCTAGTGGAAGAGAAGAATGTAATTTAGACCCCGATTCTAAAGCTAAAAGATATTATACTAACAGAATACCTTCGTGTAGACATAGAATAACAAATAACCGTCTTAGGCAACAGGGGAAACTTATTTAAAAAATCGTCAAAGTTAAAAAAATCAGTTTCTTCAAAATAGCGTAGAAACTGTGGATCGTGTGAAAAATTAATTCAGATGAGATGGTTATCTTGTTAACGACCCTAAAAAGAGAGAATGTATATGTTAGAATTAAATTTTCTTCATATTTTTTACATTTATCCATTAAAACTGCTCTAAAAACTAAATAACGTTTTGATTCATATTATATCAGCTAAAATCAGTACTATTACAATGACTGTAAAAATCCCGGTTGCGCTATTAGGGTCACTACTTTCATAGCATCTATAAAAATTAGGATTCTTGGATTTTGAGACTTGAATATCTATGGGCTTAAAAGAGGAAAGAGAAACATTGACCAAAGTGACCACAAGCGTATATGACGTGTCAGGGGCAGGTGTTTTTCGGTTTTTATCTAGGTTGTGAGAGAAATTTCATTTCTCAAGTGATTATATTCTGTGACTGGTTGTTTGTTTAGGTAATGGACAGTACTGTCTTGATTGTAACCTTATAAGAGAAAGTGGTAAAACGTAACGAAACGTTTCTTATTTTTAGTGTGTTATTTAAAAATGTCCAACGATCTCATGACATCAAAGCTCGATGAGTTACAAAAAGTTATTGAACGGTTACAAAAGGAAGTGGACCTTAAAACACAAACTATTAGTGATCTGGAGAGTGAATTAAAGGAGACGAGAACGTTACTCGACGAACAAAGAAAAGAAGCCAATTTGGCATTGTATGAAAAAGATGTGTTGGTAAATTGAAGGAGATTAATCTTTTTGATCATTTTTTTAATTTACCTATTTTCCTCATTTCTTTAAGGAACAAAAAATTAGAGAAATTGAAATGATAATTACAATAGAAGAAAACAGCAGTAGCAAAAGTGATCAATAGTGCAAGGCATACCTTTCAGTTGCTGCTATATAATGTTAAGTGATGTATGTTCTTATAATGGATACTATTTAAGGTTTTCTTTAAGTTGATTAAATAAAATTATTTGGACAAATTAAACTTTGATGTACCTACACGATCTTAGTTTTTTATTTATACTGTTATAAAATCGATTAGAAATGATGTGAACATGTTGGGTAAACCAGCTCTATTGGTGTTGAACGCTCTGTCAGAAAAAAAGAATATTGTGCATGTGTTTTGTGTAGTTAAAGATGAGTGATTTTGCAGTGACATCGACAAATATATATTATGTACTGTTTTTTTTTTTTTAAAGATATAGTTAAAAAATTGTGTGATATTGTTTTATTTTATTGTACCAGTTTAAATTACGCATATTTAAGTATATCTCTCTGCATATGTAAATTTCTTTACATAAACTCTACACCATAGAAGATAAGTATGGTACCAACCGGGCACACTTCGACAAAAACATTTGCGGGTCCTCTCCCTTTCCTAGTCTAAGATTTAACCAGAACAACTCAAATATAATGTTTTTATGTATTTGCGTAGTCATAACCGGAAACTTAGATTGAACGTGTTTTTTTTTGGTTTGCTTTGAGCAACGGTTTTGTTCTTGTGAGATTGCCACTCATAGTGTTGGATGAGCAGAAGGCTGTTTTTATTCCAAGGTGGTTGACTAATCTTCCAATCTTGTCGGATATTCCGTTTACGTATGGTAGTACCAGTAGTTGTTTCTCCTCTGGAAGTTTTAAACTGGTCTGACGGTTAGGACACAATTCGAACCGTCAGACCAGTTTCTCAGCTTCGTTGAAGAGAGCTTATTCATCAACATACCTCTTCAAGAAGCAATTGGCGTCATTGAGAGGAGGCTGTTGATGAAGACGTCCTTCAGGAAAGAACTTCTCTACCTGTCGATGCGTAATGGAGTTATTGAGTTGTCTGTTTCAACTCACTTTCAAGTTGGGAACCAGTTTTACGCACAGAAGGATGCCCTACCTACGGGATCACCGCTATGACCGATTGCCAAGATATATACGGAACACTTCGCACAGCGCTACTAACTATGACTAAAATATGTGGATGACACATTTGTCATATGGAGTCACGATGACAAGAAATCAGAAAACTACACCAATCGGCTGCGGCCAACGCTCAACTTAACTACAGAGAGCGAAAATAATAATATCTACCATTCTTAGATGTCCTACAGGAAATCAGAGCAAACTCGAGACTTCCGTGCATCGGAAATAAACACATGGAGTAATATCTCAACCATGCTTCAAACTAACCGGACAATACAAAATGAGGACTAATAAGGACCTTGTACCACCGAGCAATCATCATATGCAACACGATGGAAAGTCTACAAAAATAAATCTCCAACATACGCAAAAACCTGAAGAAATGCGGATACCCCTATAAGCTGATGGACAACTTAAAGTAAAGCCAACGGATCTACATCAAAACTTGAGGACAAACAACTACTACGACTACCATACGTAAAAGAAATATCCGACTCGATGGAATGATTGATCAACCACTTTGGAATAAAAATATCCTTCTGCTCGCCCAGCACTCTGCGTGGCAATCTCACGAAAACAGAATCTTCAACACAAAAAGAAACTAAGAACTGTATATACAAGATTCCATGTGAATGCGGTCAGTTCTGCATTGGAGAAACAAAGAGACCGTTGGAAAACTGAATAAAAGAACATTTATCATACACCAAGAAGGAAGGAACAATACAATCCTTGCATCGAATGTTGGATCATTTTTAGGTTCTCCCAAAATAAAACAAATAAATAAAGTTTCTGAGCGATTTTCTGTGTTTGTATAAAATTCATAAAGGAATCTAAATAAGTTACTAATCATACAACGTAAGTATTAAAGGTCCTACCACTATTGATGATCGCGATTACTGTCTTCTACTTCGATTAAATAAATAAACGAATTGGAAGTTTTATTTGTGTTTTATTTGTTTACCTATCCGACACCAGTTTCGACGAGTTCGTAAAACAATTATTAAAAAAAAAATGAAAATTCTGCACCTATTCTTTTGGGTGTGAACGGCTTATCGATTCGCCGCGGGCGCCTTTCTTCATGTGCGCCGTATTTATAAATGTGTGTGCCGTTCCTGCGTTCTTGGAAAGCAGTTAAACAGTTCCATGAAAAAATAAACTAATCCACATGTTTCCAGAAGGTTCAAGAAAGTAGACAAAAAAGTATTTAAAGGAAGTGACGATCGCCGTGAGAAGAAGAAATAAATGACCATTGCAGAAGTGAATCCAGAAATAAATTGACAGTGATAGCAGTGAAATAAATAGCGCAGTGAATAGTAATATATCAACAGTAGTGTAAATAAACAGAATAATTCATAATCTAAGTTTAGTAATAATTTAATAGTATTTTGGTTTGGAAAAAACAGTAAAAGTTTGGAAAATAAATTGGAAGAAAATAGTAAAAGTTTGAAACGTGAATGGGAAGAAAATAGTAAAAGTTTGAAACGTGAATTGGAAGAAAACAGTAAAAGTTTGGAAAATAAATTGGAAGAAAACAGTAAAAGATTGGAAAATAAATTGGAAGAAAACAGTAAAAGTTTGGAAAATAAATTGGAAGAAAAATGGGAAGAAAAATTTAATAAAAATATTCAAGAAACAGATGAGAAGGAAGAATGGAAAGATAAAACCAATCGCAGGAGATGTTGGCGCATCTAGCACACTCAACGAAGCCAACCAAATCAACCAAGGAAGCGGTATAGAGTCAAGAACACGAGTAAAACCACCAACATTGTGACACTTTGAACACCCTTTCCGCGGAAGAAGTGGCGAATTATGCAGAAACCAACGGAATCCCTACAAGAATTCGAAGCAGATATTGCGAGACTGTCTCGACTGGCATATCCTAATACTCCAGAAGAATCGATGGAAGGTTGGCAGTGGAGGCATTTACTGATGGACTTCGGGACAGTGACACTCAACAACGAATACGCCTTGACCGACCTAAAACACTAGCTGATGCATTGACTCGTGCATTGGAGTACGAAACTGTTAAACGGGCCTATAGCAAACAGGGAAGGGTTCGGCTACTGTGTGAAGAAACGGATTCGTCAAAATCTTTAGAAGAAATTATCTCCCAGTTTTTCATAAAGGAACTCGAAAGCTAAGATGTTGAAATTGCGGCGAACTAGGTCATACGAGGAGGCAGTGTAGCAAAGGTATTCCTTCCTCAAGTACTCTACGTCAACAGCAGGAAAAGAATGAAGAGGCAATTCGACGCGTCACGGCAGTCGATGACGAGTGGTTACCTGAAAATATAAAACACGACCAAGAAAACGACCCGGACTTGAAGAAGGTGATGGAATGGAAAAGAAACGGAAAACGACCAACGTGGCAGCAAATTTCTTCCTGTACCCAAGTACTAAAATCGTTGTGAGCGATTTTATTGGGTGAACTGTAAGGAAGATGTCAAGAATTGGTGTAAGAAGTGTACCACCTGTGCCGCGAGTAAATGACCACAGAAAAGGCCAAGGGCGCCAGTGCGTCAATACAATGTCGGTGGCCCCTTCGAAAGAGTCGTAATCGATGTGACGGGTCCATTCCCTGAGTCCGAGAAAGGTAACAAGTACATCGTGGTCGTTATGGACTATTTTACCAAGTGGGTTGAAGCCTATGCCCTTCCGAACCAGGAGTCGGAAACCATAGTTGAGGAGCTGGTGAAAGAGTCGATCAGTCGTTTTGGGTGCCCTTGGGATTGCACTCAGACCAAGGAAGGAATTTCGAATCGGCTATATTCAGTGTAATATGCGAGCTCCTAGGAATAAAGAAAACTCGAACTACTCCACTCCATCCACAATCGGACGGCATGGATGAGCGAATGAACCGGACCTTGATTAAATATCTCTCCAAAGTAGTGTCTGATCACCAAAGGGACTGGGACCGCTATTTGCATACCGTTTATCTGTCCACGAAACGACTGGCCAAACACTTGCCAGTGTCCTTTTTGGAATGGAGTTACGACTACCTTGTGACCTCAAATTCGGCTCTAAACCAGGAGATGACTTGGTTGGAGAAGTTTATGTTTGTATAATCCTTAACAGAATTGGGAAGGACCCTATGAGATAGTGAAGAGGATTAACGACATGAGCTACCGAATTAAGAAAACTCCAAATGGGAAGTTGAAGGTAGAAGTCGCGGGCGCCTTTCTTCATGTGCGCCGTATTTGTAAATGTGTGTATCGTACCTGCGTTCTGGGAAAGCAGTTAAACAGTTCAAAGAAAAAATAAACTAAACTGGATGTTTCCAGAAGATTCAAGAAAGTAGACAAAAGAGTATTTAAAGGAAGAGACGATCGCCGAGAGAAGAAGAAATAAATTGACCGTTGCAGAAGTGAATCCAAAAATAAAATGACAGTGATAACAGTGAAATAAATAGCGCAGTGAATAGTGATATATCAACAGTAGTACAAATAAATAGAATAATTCATAACCTAAGTTTAGTAATAATTTAATAGTATTTTTAAGTATTTTAGTTGAGAATTAGTGTAAATAAATAGTTTTTGTCGTTATCAGTCTTAGAGTTAATTTTGTTAAACCCACGAACATTACAATACCATTTACCGGTCTATTAAACGACCCATCTCACGGCATATTTATTCAATAAATAAAAAACTTGCTTGCCCAACTTACGCAAGAATTCAAAGGGAAGTCGAAAGAGCGTTCTATAGTCACATTAAGTTAATGAATTATTTATCAATTAAAATTTTAGGTTTTCTCACTTATGTTACATGAGCTTTAACCTTTCAGACCTTTCCCTGCCTCTCCCAAAATTTATATTAAACTATAAGTTGTAGTTGTAAATATCTTACATTTTATAGTAACCCTATTGTAGGGGTAATAAATAAATATCATTTTACTATGATTACAACTGACAGTGGATGTGGTAAGATCAACAAAACAGAAATAAAGGAAGAAGACAAAAAATTTGATATCTAATGGTGTAAAACAATGGAATGTTAGAAGTTTAGGCGAGCGTCATTTTCACCAAGAAGTGACTGGCAAAATACGAAGGACTTTTAGATATTCGTTTTCAGGAAGCACATTAACTAATAAAATGTTTCCTC